TCCGTATATCTACTAACGATCTGTTCCAAGCAATCTCAACTCTTTTTGTCATGTTCCTCAAAATTCTTCCAACCTCTATCCACTGTCCAATTCAAAAGCCGCTTCTGTGTTTCTAGGTATTTGTTAAAGTAACATGCCTACTTCCAAGTATCTAGAAAAGCCTACGATGTCTACTCGCTGACAGCTGACTTGAATACGCTAATAAGAGATTTAAAATTCAACTTTCTCCAATGGCTCTGGTGATTTCAAGGAGGTGAATTTACCTTGCTAGAAGTTTTAATACTGGACATGCTACCAGAAATGCCACAGGTTAGACATGTTGCTCCCATCACCACAGAGAAACCTATTTCTTGGTATTATAATATAGAGTTAGAAGATCATTCCTAAGTCTTCCCCTCAAAATAGGAAGCCTTTCTTCTTTACACTTATGGAAGAAAAATTGGATAATACATAAATATCAGTCAGTCTCAGTTCAAAAAGATTACCAGGGATAAACTACATGTTCATAGGAGCAAAATCATCTTCCTAAGGGAATAATTTATTGAAAATAATGAATATTTTAAGTGAAAGGGCATTGCTCTGTTTTGGATTAACAATACAGGGGGAAAAGTTAACCAAAACTTATAAAGTTATCTGAAATGTTATTCTCATAGCTTCTATTTATCAGTTAGATGGAGTGCCTATAGGTGCACATACAAAAACAACCACCATTTTGGTTTTGGTTTATAATAGTCTTCCAAAATGTAGAGGTTTATATTAGGAGAGAAATGAAACATCCAGAAGAGATCAACAATACTTTCACATGTGCCACATAGTGTTTTGCTTGATTGGGAGTTGTTTTCCTGAATTCTTTTTATTGCTGCAGTCACTGTAACTTTTAAAATTTATCATCATCTCAAAAAAGATTACGTAAAAATGAGCAGTTAGACAACCATGTATGAGGTCAGTCGCTTAGCATGATGTCTGTAATCAAAAAGTTTGAAGTGTCTGCTTACCGATGAAGAATGTTTCCACTGAGAAAAAAAAAAAGGACAGAAATTTCAGAGATTAAAAATGCTTGCCGAATGACAAGCGATTGCTATCTGCACAAGTGTCCTGGAGCTAGGGTGCCCTCTTCATCAACAAACACAAATAGCTTTGTCTCCTCAGCAGACAGATTTGAAGAACAGAGGAGAGGACAGGTAGAGAGGTGATGTAGTAGAGTGATGATGGACGGACTCTGGAACCAGACTTCTGATGCCCAAATCCTGGCTCCACAACTTACTAGGGATGTGACTCTGGATAAATTATTTAATCTCTGTGCCCAAGTTTCTTTATTTGTGCAATGGGTATAATAACCTCATAGGGTTGTTATAAGAATTGCATGAGTTTTTAATTGTAACATGCCTGACACATAGTAAGTGCTGTGTACATGTTTGTGACATAAATAATAAAATTAACAAAAGAAGCTTATTTCTTGGAGGTGAAAGTGTGATTGCTAAGAAAAATAAAGGTAATAGTAGGACTGGAATATAAAGTCAAAGAAAGCTCTCAGAAATAAAGTAAAAGAGTTACAGCACATTCATAATGCATGGTACCATTTGTGGGGGAGAAAAAAGCTGTTTCAATAAGATAGATGTATGTATGCAAACTCATAGAAATAAATTTGGCAGGATACTTACCTCCTTGGAAGGTATGGGAATTGAGAGAAACAATCAAGGGAACCTCAGCATTATTTTTAGTATTTGAATTTTTGCTGTGAAGATGTATCTATGCGCTAATTATGAAATTAAAAACAAGTAATGGTTTTTTTTTTGAAAATCAACATTTAAAAATAAAGTACCCAGGAAACAGTGAGAAAGTTGTTGCTGACTCTACCATCTGGAGTCAAGGGAATTCACAGAAGAGATGACATCAGAACTGAATCTTAAAGGAGGCATTGCCTGAAGCAAGGAGACATGCTGCAGACATGGCTTAACAAAACGATGCATTTGAGAAATGATGAGAATTTATACCAACAGTGTGGATTTGTGTGGTTGGGTGGGGAGAGGAAGGGAGGAATGGATATAAGATCAGGTTGCAAGAATGGGTTTAGGGTCCATTGCAAAGGGCGCAAATACCACACAGAGCGAGGTGAACTTTGTGTAGACAAATGTTTCAGCCACCTAAGGGACATGATCACAAAAGAAGTATCACAAAAGAAGTATCCTCAGGGGTAAGGAGTGACTGCTTAGAGACCAGGATGGAGCTGACCCAAGGAATGCAGAGCCTATAGCTGGATTCTCATAGCATTTTGGAGCTCAGAATCAGCAGTACCTTAGCCAGCTGTGCTCATGGATTTGCTAAGAGCCAGTGATGTTTTTTATTTTTTATCTAACCAGGTTGGGTTGGGTTTTCTGTTCAAACTGACTCTGAATGAAAAGAATTCAAAGTGTCCTTAATGATTAGCACTGAGAGCAGAGAGACTGTTCTTAGTCTCATGGCAAGGAATGAGGACAAAAGATGTCCTTAGCCACTGTCTGCCCCTCTTAGGGAGGGGCAGCCATCCCTTCTTGATTTGCTAAATTAGCAGAATCTAAGGCTTTAAGTCCCTGGAAGGGGTGGGCTATGCCAGTCACGTCCAGACTTTAGAATTGCACAGATTTCACACATTTGGGAATTCCATAGATTTCAGGGACAAAATTACAAAGAAAAACCTTAGGATTCAAATTGGAATCATCAAGTTTTAGTTTTGTTAATTCAAAAACTTTACAACAAATGAACCAAAACCACTACCTTCTACCATCATCATCATATCATAAAAGAAATAACATTTGGCTACACACAGAAAAATGATAACTTTAGAATAAAAGATAGCCCTTTAAAATGAATACTTTTGCCTTCATCGTAAGATACTACATTGTACTCACTTTTCTCACTTTGTCTCAAATACATGAAAACTTTTTACCAGCGACACCAATCCTCTAAGTGGCCTAGTGCAGAATACTGTGCCCTCTACAGTGTCTCCAGCCCTCAGATCTCATGCGCACCCCTAGGACACCCTAGGACAAGGAAAGTCTAGGTTTTAGGTGGCCCCAGCAGGAAGAAGAAGGATCTTAAGCCTAGTAGGAAGACTGAAGATCTCAGGAGAAGGCTCACTCAGGCAGGGATAATCTGGCAAGGGAAGCCACAGGGAGACTGTGGTGCTCAGGCAGGCTTGAGGAAAATCTCCCATTCCCAGCAGCTGCTGAGCCCAGCTGGCCCTCTTCTGGGTCTACCACCTGAGTAGCGACCCCAGGAACACTGAGCACACACTGGCTGCAACACTGGGTCTGGGTGAGGTGCTAAGAGAGACTTGGGACTGACCAGCAGGTCCCCCTCCAGAGCAGTAGCAGCCTCCTTGGGAATTCATCAGCAGAGACTGGGGCTATGCCAAGAGCATGGCCGTGGGCTGCTCTGATGGGGGATTGTGCTGTGAGGAGCAGTAGCTCATTCAGTTCAGCTCAAGTAGGGGGAAGGTGTTAGCCTAAGGGTTCCCGGATGGGGTTCTCTCTCCACCACATCCCCTTCCTGAGGCAGGTACTTACCTGCCCACCCCATTGAGCTGGATTAGGAGAAGGGAGTCTTCAATGTGTCCCTCTGTTAGCAGAAATACACACTGTAGTTGTGCAGTCAGTATTAGCTTTAGAATTTGTCTGAGGGACCTGAACATCGCCAACCCTCCCCTCCACACACACACCCCCTTAAAGGGAGACTGGATGGAACCAGCTGGCTGAGAGCCAGGATCTGGGGCAGGACAGGAGGATAACAAGACTGAGGGGAGAAGGAGGACAGTGCAAAAAGCAGAAACGAAGGCTGGGGAAGCAGGGCTCCCAGCGGCAGATCGCGACGGGCCATGGATTGACAGGAGACCCAACGGATAAAGAATAGGGTTCTTTGCACCCTCTTCTGCACTCACCATGTACACAGAGTGTGCACACAGATTCATACAAGAGCACACATGTTCCCGGCAGTAGGCTCTGACTTACCACACTTTTGACATTAAGGACTAAGTTAACAGTTACATAAAGACACACAGGGCACATCGAGGAAGCCAAAGATTTCAAGAACTCACAATCCCAGCACAACCAGTCTTCATAATAATCAAGAGTTAGTGATAGATTTGAGAGGGATCCCTGGGCCCTCAGCAAATTGAAATCCTCAGGTCTTTGTTCTTCCGCCTCCTCTCTGCCCCTACCAACTTTTGGATGCTGCCAACTCATGCATTTTTGCACCTACATCCCACACAAGTTTCTGAGAAACCCAAGATCTGAGCAGCTCTGAACATCTGCCCCAAACCCATGAGCTCTAGCCAGTCTGCCAATCAACTGGCCTTGACCTTGAGCTAGGTGTCTACCAGGGCAGAGAACAGTAGAGAACAGTAGAGGTGGTCGCCTGGGATGTAGGCACTATGAGTGCAGCCATTGCCTTTAGGTGTGGCAGGGGAGGGAACATGTTTTTCATTTGTTTTTTTTGTTTTTTTAAATTTATTTAGGTGAAGCAACCCTTGGTTGACCTCACAGATTGCAAGGACCTTGTCGGCTTACAATCTCTTATTTTTTTTATTTTTTATGCCTACGGCACCTGGTCTTCCTAGGTGGTCTCCCATCCAAGTACTAACCAGGCCCGACCCTGCTTAGCTTCCGAGATCAGACAGGATCGGGCTTGTTCAGGGTGGCATGGCCGAAGACCAGTTCCAGCTCTTGAACCTTATATCTCTGAGGTCAAGTGAGGCTGAGTGACCTAAGATCCCACAATCTCATGCTCCTGGGGCCCAGATCTCCCCACCGCCACATCAGTGAAGCCCTAGAATGCGTGCCAAGTCATATGCACTAGGTTGTTTATTGTCACATTACCCACAGGACAGGGGTGGGATGAGGAAGGGAGCCCTCAGGCAGAGAAGTGGAAGCGGCGGAGGGGGATGGGAAACATCTATTTTCCAGATTCTGCCCTTCTTCCCAGCAGGTAGGTGATGGCAGGGCTTGGCCACCAGCAGGACACCCTTAGATGCAAGCACAGTGCTGCGTGAGAAGGTTGGGCACTGTCTCATACTTGAAAGAGTAGCCTCCATCTGAGGTGGTACGGACACGTAGGGGCCTCATGGTCCCTGGGAGAGCAGCACAGCAGGGCTGGGCTCCTGGAACCAGAGAAAAGGGCTGGACAGGGGTAGGGGGGACCCCAGAGACTGGCAGAGGCAAGTCTGATTGGGTGGGTAGCCCACAGCCACCGTGACAGTAGTGGAAGACGAAACTGGGAGGGTGTACGATCCACTGGTCCCAGCCCAGCTCCTGGAAGGAGATGTTGAGGGCCGCTCTGTGGCAGTGAGCGTGGGCAGCAGGTTCCTCTGGAGGCCTCTGCAGCAAGCGCAGAGCAGCGGGAGACCAAGGCCAGGGCAGCGGGGGAGTCGAGCGCCGGGCTCTGTCCCCTCTGCTAGCTGGCTTGGCTCGAGTGTGGGCCACCAGGAAGGGCGTGGTCTCAGGCCGGGCTGAGCAGGAACAGAGAGGACAGCGCAGCAGGAGCACCAGCACAGGGTGGGTCAGCAGAGGGAGGGCAGAGGCAGCCATGTGCAGCACAGCCCAGCAAGGAGGTGCCTGGCCCAATGACGTGGGCACAGCCGTAGGACCCTTGGATGACAGGGCCAGCAGGCCTAGCAGGGGCCCAGAGCTATTGGAGGATGCTGTGGCCTGTCTGTCCAGTCCCGTGTGGAACCACAGCTGAGCCGAAGTCACCTGGCGGCTGCGTGTGTGCTGGGAAGGCCGGAACATATATGTGAAGAGGCCCTCCTCAGCCTCCTGGGCCAGCTCTCCCACAGCTGGCTGGTCCTCACAGCTGGCCCCTGCAGGAGACAGAGGGAAAGGAGAGGGCAGCCCTGACTGGCAGAACCTGGGACCCCTCCTCCTTCACAGGGGGGAAGTGGCTGCCATGCAGGAGCCTGCCAAGCACTCTACTGAGTGCTCTGCCAGACTCAGGACTCTCCCCAGTCTTGGGAGAACTGACAGAGGCTCTGCATTTACTTCACCATTAAAAGACTTTAAAAAATGCAAGACATTGTCAACTTCTCTCTATAGTGGTTCTACCAATTAATGCTCCCATCAGGAATGCGTAAGAGTGTCTGCCACTCTACCTTCACCAACACTTGGAATTGTTAGTTAGACTTGATCTTTTTGTTCATCCGATAGTGTGAAATCGTGTGTATGCAGTCATTTGTTATATTACTCTTTGTATCTTTTTACATGTCAGAAATAGTACACAATAAGTTCTTTAAAATAATTCCACTTTTAAAAAGACAGGTTAACACCAAAAAGAAGGAAGAAGAGGAATAGGAAAAAGGATATAGCTCGGAGTAAAGGACAATGCTTTCTAAGAAAGTGCAGTTGGCATTCTTACTCTGACAAGTACACAGACTCCACTGAACAATCATGGACCAGCACCAGCGGAAGGACTGGCAATTGGGGCTATACTGTCACATGGATCATCTCATGGATAACCTCACAACGGATCTATTTTGCAGATAAGGAAACTGAGAGTTAGAAAGATAAAGTGACATTCAACTGCTAAGTGGCCAGGCTGGGATTCTGCCTGATCCCAAATCCTCACTTACTCACTGTGCTGCAGGGGACTGGAGCGCAGGGAGGCAGAAGTCCTCTCTAAGAGAAGGGTGGGCCAGATTACAAGAAAGTCCGCACAGAGGAGGCCTTTACTCATTGAGTTTGTGGAACATGGGGAGGTGAGAAGGGAACTCAAGAGAAGGTAGACTAGTTTCCCAGAAGTTCCCAACTAATCTTTCTCTTGCATCCTTGATATATTTTCAAGTCTCAGCTACTTGGGGCCAAAGAAACAAGGTTTGGAGCAGGAAGCAGAGGCAGAGATAGGAGGAAAGGTGGCAGGAAGGGGCCCATGTCCAGATATCTCTGACTCTAGAGACCCTTAGCCTCCTAGGCAAATATCTCCCACCCAAATGCCCGCTATGAGCCATGCACTCTAAATGCACCATCTCCCTGAATCCTGAGAGGTAGGCATTATTGCCCATATTATACATGAGGAAACAGAGGCTCACAGAGGCTTAGTAATTGTCCATTGTTGCAAAGCCAGTTGAGTGTCGGGTCTGAGATTCAAACCCAGACCTGCCGGCTTTCAAGCCCATGCTATACTATGCTGCTTCTCAAAGCTGCCAGTTCCCCATCATTACCTGTAGCTGGGAAAAGGATGGCCTGGGAGACATCCTCCTCCACGGGCTCAGAGCCCCTGCGCATGAAGCCCCCCACAGCATGTCTTCGGAGCAGACGCCTGACTCCAGGATTCCCACCTTCACCAGTCACTGCAGGGGGTCCCAAGGCATCCAGAAACAGGGCCCTCACCTTGGCCAGGACAAGTTCCCGGTCCACCTCTGGCCCATGGCAGCTGTGAACCCTCTGTGGGACCACCAGCAAGAGGAGCAGCAGTGGCAGCTGGGGCAACATAGCTCACCTGTCCCTGCCAGTGGTAAATCCACAACCTGCCCCGTGCCCCTCTGTCAGGGTCTGCCCAGGGCTTCCCCCACTCTCCCCTCCGCATCCCAATACCTGCCCTCTTCTACCCTTCTCACCCCAGTCTTCCCCCAGGCCTTCCCACGCCTGCAGTCTGAGCCGCCCCTGCCCATGGCATTGAGACCTCCTATCTCTGACGCAGATGTCTGTGGCCCTGAGCCTTATCTCCCACTCCCGCCAGGAATGTGGGGGAGAGGGCTGGTGTTTTCACCCCAAGTGACCTGACCCCACACATACAACCCCGTCCCCCTACACACACACACACACACACACACACACGCACATGCACACGCACGCACACGTACACACACACATGCACACACACACAGTCACATCAGCATCCAGCATAGAAGTGACATCAGATAGGACAGGAGGCTGGGAGCTAGGGCCTGCCAGCTCCTAAAAGTGTTATTTGTTAGGGAGGCAGACCGCACCAGACATTCTGGTGCCCCTTTCAAACAAGCAGCTGCTGGACTAGTCATGGGAGCAAGGATTGAGGCTTGGGCTAGAACTGGGGCTAGTGCTGGGGGCAGGTGGTCCCGCTTGCTCTAAACTTAGCCTGGAAGGGCCAGTCTGGCCTCTTGTCCTCCAGCTGTGTCATCAGAGAATATTTTTGGGATTGGCAGCTGCAGGCGCCTCTGCCACTCAGGCCCAAGCCTGGCGTGCGTCTGGGGACCTGGCGGCTGGAGGTGGGAGGGAGGAGGGGAAAGAGGCCCAGGCTGTGGGAGGGGGCTGGGAAGAGGCTCTTAGGAGCAGGAAGCTAGGCCGCGGGCAGAGGAGGCTGCGGGGCCCCTCGCTGTAAAGGCAAACAGGAAGCACTGCCCCCTGAGCTCTGGGCTGCGGGCCCGGGAATCGCCGCCGCCACCGCAGAGCTGCAGCTCCCGGCCCAGGGTAAGGAGGGAAGTCGGGAGCGGGCGGCCAGGGTAGAGCTCCGCGGATCCCCACGCCGGGTCCCCCGACGCGCCCCGCCTCCCGGGCTCCAGGCC